TTCATCTGAAAATTCTAGGGCTTCTATTCCATCTGGGGTTTTTTTATCGAAAAGAATGCTTGAAAGTCGGCCAGAATCGTGTTCAGTGTATTACTACAAGACAGACGTGGGATGTTATTCGATTTTCCTTCCATAAGTAAGTCTATGAAACACACACACATCACATATTTGTACACTATAAGTCTATAACTTACATTATATAAACAGAATAATAATAGAATAAAAAGAATTTGTTTTGTAAATACTGTAATGACAACGTCACAACAAATGTAGTTTTGAGTTTGGCAGCTACAATATAAAACTATTTACAGTTTTAATAAAAGAATATTAGACCACAAAAGAACTTCTTGTTTTGATGTCTGTGTTAGGAGAGTCTCTCTCTCTATATATGCATGTTGACAACAACTTTCCTTGTCCTGTTCAAAGTCAAAAATGGTTTAGTTTTGTTCACATCAGTGAACCAAAAATACATCTTTCCCTTTGCACTATTGGATTTCCTATAACCAATCCCAGCCTGCTAAAAAATGAAATGGGCAGACTCAATGCCAATCAAATATTCATTCTTGTGTGAGAAACACTCCACACCGGATGATTATACTTCACACCGATGATTATATTAATCCATGGTGTTGCAAGGTGCCCTACTTTATTATTTTACTCTGTCTAATGCCAGACAATTTTACTCATCAAGAGGAGAGCAGTGGCACTTAATGGGTTAACTGGCCTACCTGCAAATGTGTATAGTTAACCCATTGAGTCGTTTTGTGCCCTACTTAATTATTTTACTCGGGCTACGCCAGACAATTCTACTCGTAAGGGGAGAGTGCTGATGCTTGGGTCAGCTGTCTCAAGGGAAGAGTGTCCGAAGGGAAGAATGCCGACTGCAGAGAGCAATCAATAAAATGCCAATCCAAGAAATATCTAAACGAAGATGCCGTCCCATCTATTTTTGATTATCAATGATGAATCAATCAGGTTTCTTGGAGAGAACTAGATACTAACTGTGAAGGGTTTTGATGCATACCAGACACATTAGGCAGTTTCTTCAAACTAGTTTCCATTGAAAACTTTCGTTGTCACTAGTTCTCTCTACAAACCTGATTGATTCATCACTTTTCCCTGTCCAGGCCCTATAGACTTGAGATCCCTTGACATCTGCAGCAGCAAGGAGGTTGTCAAAGTCACACTAAACAGAGCATCAGAATTTTCGCACCAGCAGACCAAATAAATCAAGCAAAATAGGCTTTAACTTCAAAATACTTCACAGAATTATTCTTTGTTAAATATCCCAACCGAGATCCTCGAGAAAAAAAGCATCCAAAGAACCAAAACCTTTATTTTCTGCAACAAAATGTCTTGAACTGCTCAACCGACCATTGTGACGATTTCAGAAAACATTTAGCGATCGATTATTTCGTCTTTATTAAACTTAAATTGCACAAATATTCATCCAAAACCTTCACACCAGTTAGTTCTTGCCAAAATAAAGTGATAGAACGGAATCGGAAGCTGTAGGACGACGCAAACTGCGAAAAACATGGTTTTTCCCTATCTCGCTCTATGATTTTTGCCCGGTTGAGCCGCCATTTTGAATGCTCATGAGTGTCACGCGCGTGCATTATAGAAAACATTAGAGTCAGCAATCTAGGTCTCCTATATCTATGATTGTGACGTCAAATCCGCCATGTTTTTGGCCACACACTTTCGTCGAGAGCACGATCTCCAGATATATTAAGTATAGCTCAGTGGGTCAGGCCCACTGAGCTGTATAATAACTGGAGGACCTGCTCCTATACTTCGTTCAGTCATCGAAGTGAAGCATACCTAATTTTAAGATTTTTTTATCACTGCACATTTTATGCCAAAAATTTCCGAATGACTAAGAAAATTTCAGAATAGTCGGAAATTTTTGGCGACCTACCCCCCCCCCGTCGCCAAAAAAATTTTGGTCAGTGTACCATTTTAAGGGTCAAAAATTTTTTCCGGACATACCAAAAGCCAGATATTAACTAAAAATTGCCTGAATCTCATGATTTTCGTACAAAAAACATATACTATTATTTAATTCGATAATTTGGCAGTCATCATTTCAATTTCAATTGAATCATTCTCTTGTGTTAATTAACAACTTATCAAAGCAAATTTTATCACTGCACATTTTACATTTTATCACTGCACATTTTACTTTTATCACTGCACAAATTGGTTATCACTGCACACTAAAATTAGGTATGAAGTGAAGCCAAAAACATGGCGGATTTTGAGTGAAAATGACGCCATTTCCATGACAACACTTACTTTATTTTCATGGTAGGTACCACTGACCAGGCTCAATTCTGAGCCCACGGCCGTTTTCACCCCCCCCCCCTGGTTTTTACAAAAAAGTTTTGCAGATATTATAATTTCTCGTGGTTTTGACTTTTGAATCGGTTTTTAAAATTTTTTCGATATAAATTTTCTACCTTTGACCATTTGGACAAAGATATGCAAGTCGTACGTGTTAAGGCCCGGTCACACTACACAACGATAACGATACGATAAATTGCAAACACGCGATAATTGGGGAAAAAAAATGTGTTAGTGTCCACACAACAACGAAAATGATAAAATTATCGTTAGACGATAACGATAACGATTTTAAAATCGCTCAGGTGAGCGATTTTTTTTTCAGTTAGACGATAACGATAAATTTTTGACCAATCAGCGCGCATACACAAGTTATCGTATCGTTATCGTTGTGTAGTGTGACCTGGGCTTTATTCTCGCCTGTGAAAGACGACAAGTAAATTTTAAAACCTCAAGAAATATGGGAAAAGACGAGACTTGAATTTGGATTTTATACAAAGGGTAAGAGATAAATTTTCATATTTCAATTTTTTAATATTTAGACTTTACCTTATTTGACATGAAAATGATAAGCATAACGATGAAACTGACACTCTATTTGTTAATAAAACAACTTCCTGTGTAATACACATGGTAAAGTGTAAAATTTCCCACTATTTCACTAATTTTAGCAAGCTGTGATTCATAATCGCAAAATATTTGGTTACAAACTACGAAGCTTTGATCGATATTCAGTCACATATACGAGGATTACGACGGTCTTTGAAGTGCGAACTGTCTAGTGTATTAATGTTTAAAATGTTGACTCCTGAGCTCTCGTTTTATAAACAGACATAAACCTCATTTCCAGGATGGCCTGTTTTCTTACAAGTTTTCTCAGTAAATATCACTCTGAATGAGCAATGTACCTTTATAAGTGCACTCATAGTTCTGATACCCCTTGTTTAAGTTGAGGAGTTTGGTCACATTCTTTTGTTTACTGTACCTTCATCATATGCGAATCATGTTACTGGAGGATTTTTGTACAACCTACATAATTAATCTACTCTTGTTTGTTGCATATTTATTCCACAATGACACACTCCTTTCTGGGTGGCAAGTTACAGTACCAAGCCTGGCAAGCCACACATATCTTTGGAAACTGAACATACTGTATTTTAAAACATGCTTCCAAAAATTATGTCACCTTGGTGAGTCTCATTTTCACGATTGAGACATTGGACTTTAACTCATGCCACATACATGAAAATGAGGCTCCTGTGACAAGGTGAAATACATTCCGGAAGCCGGAAGGGTGTATTTGATTTTTTGAAAAATTATTGGCAGTAAAAAATTTAAAAAAACAAAAATGTATAATTTTAATTGCTATAAAACTTATTTACACTTCAATAAAGTTATCATAATCATATAATTATTTATGTTGTTATGCATGGTATTATAATTGCTGCCTCGTAGAGGCAGCACACTATTCTTGACTACGCGGTGTTTCTCCAGAGTCCACTCGACCCAGTCTTTCGCGCGATCTATGTATTGTCGAGATCTCGATCTTGTGTCTGTCTGTATGTAAAGATGTCGTAATCCGGGGGGAATAATTAAGCCTCGAGAACGTTTGTTAAATGAGGGGAGCGGTCAGAAACAAGATTTTGTATTGCGCACGCAACTCCATGTGCACAAGAATCAAGATTTTACAATTGGTTTCATACAGGCTTTTTATACGGATGCAAGTTATCGAAAATTTTCGGAAAAATTCAGGTAAGTATGGCTCTATTTCTTTCTTCTGAAATACATCAAGGCGATGACGTTTTTAGTGTTCAATCTAGAGGCAAACAATGTGCTTTTATGAGTTTATCTGCAATTTTAACTGCCCAAAGTATCCCAGTGATCGATTGGTCGAAAACAACATTGAATAATGTCTTATTACAAGGAGACAAAATGTATTTGCAAGCTGTGGATAATGGCTTTGTTGTCTTAGAACCTGGTGTCGAATTCCTATCTGTAGATAACTTACCTAAAGTTGTCAGTGTTTCAAGGTGTACGAACATGTTTTCTTACGAGATATGCGATTCTGTCATCGACACAAGTAATATATCATCTGTAGTGCATGCGAAAACAACTACAACACCTATGAATCCCTTTGATACACAAATTAACGTTGAACTACCCATGGTGGTAGGACAAAACAGTAAAAGTGTACCCATGGTGGTACAACAAAATCATAACAGTCCACCTATGATGGTAGGACAAAACAGTAACAGTCTACCCGTGGTGCAGTGGCGTAACGCACATAGGGTAGGGTTAGGGCAATAACTAAGGGCCCCCGACTGTTAGGGGCCCCCGAGGGGCCCCCACCAAATTTAGATTAATACGGTCATGATTTAGATTAATGCGGTTATACGGTATTACAATAAATAAACATCGACAGTGGAAATAAACATCGACAGTGGCAACTGACATTTTATTTTATCTCAAATAAAACAAAAGTTATTCTTTTTAGTTATTACATGAAGTACGTCCAAATTAAAAATGCAAAACAAAATGTCGGCCATGATGGCTGGAAAGCGAAAGTACAAATCTGGGGCACAAAAGAGAGCAGAAAAAAGAAAAGAACGGAGAGTTCTTTATCAAATACAAGTTGCATATCAACATCTCTTCAAATGAAAGATAATGTCGACAATAATGAAGACCCCACGTCTACTAGCAGTAGCAGTAGCATCGCTGAAGTCGAAGACGATTCCTTTTTTGACAACGCCGAAAAAGATTTAAATTCCTCTATTTGCCCTGAGTCCAATCATGGTGTTACTGGTGACAAGGACGAAAACTTCACTCCCTTGAAACTTTCCAGTTCTACTTCAGAAGCAAAGTTGGATAAAAATAAAGATCTGGTATTTGATACGACAAGAAAGTTCCCAACTGACCGTGGTCATTTTAAGGAAAACATAACAGATTGTGATTTGAAAATAATGGTTATGCATCACGAGTCATGCAGACCGACAGGACCTTTCGAATATGAAGATGAGGAAGGGAATTCAATAGTGAATTTCAGTGCCAGATACTACAATAAGTATATTGATAATATGTCAATACAAAGACTTTGGTTATGCTATTCAATGGAACTGCAAAAACCTTATTGCGAAGTTTGTTGGTTGTTTGCTGATCGTGCATCACCAAATTATGAAAATCATAGAGGATGGATAAATGGTGTATCTGGTAGCTTGCATAATATGCTTGAAAAAATTAAGAGGCACGAAGCTTGCAACATGCATATTCAGGCAACTGCAGTCTCAAAACGAGTTAATAGAACTTCTAGCAAAAACTGTCACAGTTTCTTTGGTTCACAAGATCAATGCTTCGCCATTTTGGGCTCTCATTTTAGATTCTACTAGCGATATAACTAGAATTGATCAATTAAGCGTTATAATACGGCGGGTCCAGATATATGGGGACAAGTGCAGTATTGAAGAAAACTTCTTGGGTTTTGTAAAATTAGATGATGCAACGGCGAATGGAATAGTATCAACCACAAAGGCGTTTCTGCAAAGTCTTGGTATTAACTTTTCAAAAATACGTGGACAAGGGTATGACGGCGCAAGCGTAATGAGTGGTATTCATGCTGGCGTGCAAACGTTGATTAAAAGTATGGTTACTGCCCCAGTTCCTTTCGTTCATTGCGGCAGTCATAATTTGAACCTGGTAATCAACGATGCTGTCAATTCAGTTGTAGAAAATGAGAATTTCTTTGGACTATTAAGGGAACTATTTAGCTTTTTCGCACCTAGCCTGCGAACAGGCTCACTGGGAGAAAGGTGAGCCTGCATGGAACCATGCGTTTTATTCAATCATCCCCTTTTCGCATCTGCTAAACGCGAACCAATCAGCGTCGACTGCGATAAATAAACTGTCAACTGTCAAATTGACGCAAGGCGTGTACATTGTGCAACGAAGAAATACTGAATATTAAAATGTATACATAATGTATATATCTGTGGTATATATGAACAATAATACAAAGCATTAGCGGGCCGCACAAAATATTACTCGGAAAAATATAGAATTCTTCAAATATTAAATAGATATCGATACACATACAAATATAAAGCCGAATAAAATACTACCATGCATTGGCATTGAATCAATGTACAGTAATACTTGTACTATGTGCGACTGAAAGAACAATGTTCTGAATATTTGAAGCTATTACTAAAATACGGTCAGATAGATTGGGATTTGGAATACCGAATACGTCTAAAATTTTACTAACTGTGGACTAAATAAATGATAAATGAGCATGTATTTATTAATTTCTTCGAAATCACGAGTGTGCCAATAGTGGAAGCATAGTGGTGGAAGCCGTATCGACGACGAAATTAGCCGAATTCATATTAGGGACGGGAAACTCGTCTTAGACGGGAAACTCGTCTGCGAAAACCCGTCTGAGTATGAATTTAGGGACGGGTAAATTCGAATTTAAGACGAGTTTCCCGTCTAGACGAGATTCCCGTCTAACTTTCCCGTCTGTTTAGACGGGTAAGTTAGACGGGAAAGTTCAGACGGGAAACTCGTCTGCGCCCGGATTCATATTAGACGAGTTTCCCGTCTGAGACGAGTTTCCCGTCTAAGACGAGTTTTCCGTCTCTAATATGAATTCGGCTATTCAGCAGTTTATACAGTAAATAGTACAGCGTTTAATGTACGATATATATTTATATCTAAATGACATGCCAGCGAGGATCAACAATATAATTATTCGTACATATTTGGGTATCTTTTGTATACCTTCGCTTGCTGACTTGCTCACTAATGAGAATAATCCGTGAAGCCACGACGACCTCAAAATGTACTATACTATAGTCTGATGTCAATCCGAAGACGAAGTTCAGAATACTGTTATAGTTTCCGTATATTGGATATAAGCGATAGATTCAAGTCATTTATGATAGACTTTTTGCTGTGATGCTTTCCTATTGCTTTTGGTTTCCATTTCTAGTTTTATTTGTTCGATAGTCTTATAATATATAATATTAAAATGAATAAAGTTCAAATTCTTCAAAATGCTGTTGTTGACATTTGCTATTTTTAGTAATTTTGTCAACGAGTGTAAACCAATCAGAAGCCTGCGTTTCTATACGAACGCCACTACCAAGAAAACCTATAGTTCCGTGCAGGCCCTCTATTCTTCGCGCCGCCCGTAACCCAGGGCCTGTTCGCTGGCTATTTCGCACCTTCGTTAAACAGATGGAGAGAACTCGGTCTTGAAGCTGAAAAAGGATCTCTTACGCTCAAGAAATTATGTACAACGCGATGGAGTTCGCGAATTGATGCTGTACGGGCTGTTCGTGACAGGTATCCACATATCATGAGAGTATTAACACGGTTGTCTTTAACATCTACTAATAAAGCAGAAAGAGAAGATGCAAAACAATTGAAAAACAAAATAGAGAAACTCGAATTTGTTATATTTATCGTTATGTGGGAGAGAGTTTTGCGAGCAATCAACAGCGCTTCAAAAGAGTTGCAGTCGCAAAAGATTGATCTGTCCGTTGCATCAAGGCTTTTAAACAGTGCATTGTCGGAACTCGTGATCTTAAGAAGTTCTTGGAACTCAGTTCTTTTAACTGCGACAGCATTAGCCCAGGTCTGGAGTTCATCTGTAACGTTTGAGAACAAGAGGAATCGCAAAACAAAACGGTTTTTTGATGAGCTTTCTACTGATCAAAGATTAACTGATCCTGAAGAAG